TCAGCAGGGGGATGACACATGGGATCCCTCCCTCATAACCTGTCCTCACCTGCCTCTCCCCCAGATGAGGGAGGACGCGCGGCTGCAGCTCTTCTTCAGGGACATGTCCTACAGCTCCTTCAAGAGCTTGGCCGACGCCTACGTCCAGCGGGAGATGACGGCCAGCAGAGCTGATGCCAACCCCCAGGAGATCCAGTTTGCCTTCACGGTCCACCTCACGGCCAGGCTGGCCGGAATCCGCAGCCAGGCAGTGAACAGGATCATGGGCTTCGGCACGCGGTACCTGGAGGATTCGTTTGCGCCCTACGGCAAAATTCTCCAGGTAAGGAGGAGGATGAGCCCGGGGCTGAGCTCCCAGGAGCGAGTCAGGGCAAGTGCCCAGAGGAGCTGTGGCTGCCCCATCCCTGCAAGTGTCCAAGGCCAGGCTGGACGGGGCTTGGAGCAACCTGGGCTAGTGGAAGGTGTCCCTGCCCATGGCAGGGGTTGGAACAAGATGAGCTTTAAGGTCCCTTCCAACCCAAAGCATTCCATGATTCCACGATTCTATGAATGTTTCTTCTGTCTCAGCAGAACAGAGAAAAGCTCAGGACAGACCACTGTGACAGCCCAGACTGACATCAGCTGCTGTGAAGGGCCTGTGGTGCCTGGGAACCCAAGGATGAAGATTTACTGGTGGGAGGACAATCCCTGATGGTGACCTGGATGTGGGGGGGATTCCTCATCCATGGATTTAAAATCTTCGAAGGAAAAGCCTGAGCAACAGCCAGAGCACTGTGAAATGCTATAACCCCTCCTGGCTGGGGGCAAAGACTCTGTAAATCAAACAAAGCCCAGATTTCACTCCGTGTTTGCATTTTAGCTCCTGCCAAGTGCATGTGTTGAACCTCAGGGGTTGTTGGTGTTTGTGTATGTGTATTTATTTACCTGCTTTTCTACACGTGTCTGTGAATGTACACCATAATTTTTGTAGTTTCTGCTGTCAGCCAAGCATCCAGTTTGGAAAAGAACATAAAAAACTCAAATAAAATTGGTGCCTAAATGCCATCCAGGCTTATCTGCTAGATGGAATAACATTTGCTTTGCTCCAGCTGCTGTGGCTGCTCCTTTCCAGCCATATCCCAAGCGGCACAAGGGAATCTTACAGCGGATGCACAGTGCTGTCCTGCCAATTTTACGATTTATAGTCATTCCCTTTGCAGCAGAAGGAGATTTACTGCCCAAAGCAGCTTGGGTTAACACCAAGAACTGGGTAAAGCTCGTTCCTGAGCGGTGCAGGAGCTGTCACTCCCTCGAGGACTGAGGGGATTTGCAGCTGCCAGGGTCTCACCTACAAGCTCTAAGAAGATGTGAAATGTCAGAGGGATTTAAGCCCTAATCACTGGGAATGTTTCCAGCTAATCTTTGCCCAGACCCCTAAGTAGGGCCATGGATTAAGGCAGCTTGGGGCTGGGGGGGTGTTGCCAGGGCTTGGTGTGGTGGCACCAGCAGGAGCATCTCCCTTGAGAGGTTGGACCCAGCCTGGAGTGGAGGAGATGAAGTTTTGGGGTTTGCAGTGTGCAAGAGGTGGGATGGTCTAGCAGGTTGAAGGTGGTGGTGGTGGCAAACAAATATGTTTGTCTGGGTCAAGGTCATGTGTGGGGTGACAGTCCCTTGAGGGCCATTGGTGCCGGTTGGGTCTGCCCAGCACCTCCTCTCCTGGATTCTCAGTCCATTTCAAACCCTAAGTAACAGAAAATGAGGAAGCAGAGCCCTTGCAGGATGGGAGCAGCCCTTCCCCACCCAGATCCACATCCCTGTTTGCAAAGCCATTAAGGGCTCATCTGCCAGACCCAGGGAGTTCAGTCACCGACTGCTGAAGGGTCCCAGGGAGGGGGGATACCTTGCAGGGGCTCTGTCTAATTTAGCCTGGGGTGATTAGGACTGTGGAAAACATCAAATCCCAGTCCTGGATCCTGCCCACCACAAGTGCAGCATCAGCACCGTGGTTTTTTTTGGCCAGGAACCAAACTGGGAGAGTTTTACTGCAAGAGAAACCAAAACTGCTCTTGCTGTTTGTAACTGCCCCACTGTCCCTGTTCCCTGCCGGGAGCCTGGGGGACTGTGCTGGGCTGTGAGCAGGGCAGGGTGAGCTGATGTTGGGGGGGTGGTGGGGACCCATCTGGAGGATCATACAAATACCTCTATTTGTTTTGCATCTGAGCTCGTGCAATGCCAGGGGTGGGTTGGGAGCTGCATGGAGCAGAAAAGGGTTCTGTTTCCTCACTGCCTTCCATCTTCCATCAGCACGTGGGACTCACCCTCCAGGTGAAACACCAACGAGGCAAACAACTCATCTCTCCCAATCCCTTCTCCTGTGCTTTTCCCAATACCACAGCTGAACCAAATACTCTCCTTCTGTGGTCACTGGACCATTTCCAACCCATCAGGGCAGCAGTGCCTGGAAAACAAGGAGCAAAACGTGCCCATCCCCTTGCACAAGGGGCTCCTGCTCCCAAATAGCCCAACCCAAAGCAGGGATGCTGCTCCAGCCCAGCACAGAGGGATGAGGTCAGGAGTGGCCACGGCTGCTCTTTAGTGCAACACCTCATGTCCCTTCTTGTGAGCAACTCCAGCTTCTTGGCCTAATCTCTTGGTTCTAAAATTGAGAACCTGACTGCCTGTGGCCACTGAAGATACTAAGAAGGTTTTAAAGAAGGGCAAGTTATTAGTCCCAGGGGTTTGAGCAGTTTCCAACTCTTGGCATTACCTTCATCCTTCCCTAAACACCCCGTGGGGGCTTCCAACAGCAAAGACAATCCCCTCGCACGAAAATCCCTGGGATCACCGACACCAACCATCTGGGCACTGATCCTGCCCTGGCAAGAAGCAGCCCCCAGCCCTGCACAGCCCCCAGCCCACCTGGTGCTCAGAGTGAGCTGGGAACCTTCTCCCCAAACCCACCTGCTGCTGGGATCCCTCGTGTCTCTGAAGTCGTCAGGCCCTTCTAATCCTGCTTTGCCAGGTGGGGAGGGCAGCTTAGAAAAGCAGCCCGGCACTTAACGAGCCAATTAATGCAAAATTTGCTGCCACTTAAGAGGATGATGACAAGGTTTCTTCTCACGGGACCTTGGAGCTGAGCCAGGGGGGGATGATGTCTCCTGGAATGCCGTCCTGGGGTCTCAGTGTCCGCAGCAGGGGAGGGTGCAGGGGCGGATTTGGCAACTCCTAGACCCCTTAAGAAACCCCCCATGACTCACTGCAGGCCAGAGCAATGTGTGGACAGAACAACGTATTCCTGCAGGTCCCATGGGACCATTTACACCTTTCCCAAATCTTGGCAGCCAGGGCTGGGCACAACCAAGGCGATGCAAGCGCTGAGTGAAGCAGGAGCATCCTGCACCTCTCCATGCAGAGCCTGTTGCATTCCTTGGGGGCCTGACATGCACAGCAGGCACAGTTCACATGCAGGGAACACAGGAACAATTCCTTCCAGTGTGCAAACACTCCTGCACTTCTGATGCCCTGGAGTGTTTGCACCAGTTGCAGCAAGAGGTGATACTTTTGTCCTTCTTGGACTTGCCAGTACCGGAAGAAAGTCCTTTAAATGAAGGGGTTTTTGCTTTCCCGAGGGCTGCAGGAGCCAGTGGCATGAATCACACAGATCAAAGCTCAGATATCACCAGGAGGCTGGTGGAAAGGCTGCCATGTGTGGGAGACTCACCAAACAGGGGGGATAATGTGAAACATCAAACACTGGGAAGGCAAGAAATGAGAAGCTCCAGTAAGGCTGTGATGCGAAAACCCCGATTCAAGCAATTGTCCACCTCCAGGATAACTCAAATAATTATTCAATATGTCTTGGGGCTGAGAACTCTCTGCTGTGTGCCCTGACATCCAGGCAGCACCAGAGATCAGCCCTGGCTGTGCTGTGACATTTACCTGGGGGTTCAGGCAGTGTCCACCAGGGACACTTCAACCCAGGGACAGTTTGCTCCTCTGTGCTCCCAGGACACAACTCCTGTTGCAGGGGACACAGTGATGGCCAGAGAGGGCAAATTAAAATGTATAAAAATTGGGGGTGAAACAGCACTGCAAAGGTTGTATCAGGATGCTGGGACCATCCTCTGTTTCCCTGTATTGTCCTGGCCAGGCTGGTGCATGACATGAGGAAGGAGAGCTTGTTCCTGCAGCCTGTCATTATCCACATGCCAGTGCTAATAGACAGAACCTTAATTTCAACATAAGTAGTATTCACTCTCAGTGTTCAGGCTGTATGGATTTGGACAACATAAACACACAGTGTTTACCAATATTTATTAAACACATCTGTTGAAAATGGCAGCCTTTATTCTGTATGTTGGCAGCAACATCAGAGCATTAAGGCTGAAAAGACACAAGAAATGTCCTGAATCTCTCAGTGTATTTTTTTTTTTTTAACTATCCCCCAGGAAATGCAGACAGCCCAAACCCACTTTGATTTTGGTTCTGTAACCACAGACTTGGGGTAATGTGGTGCTGCTGTAGGACCTCATTGGGAAGGGGAGAGAAAAACAAACCCAGCTTTTTGGTATCAAATGATATCCAAGGGTCAGGCAAGGAAAAACCCTTCCAATGGGGAGCAAATGTAAGGAACATTTCCAAACCTAACCCAGCCCTGCATCCTCTCCTTGTGTAACACCCGCTGGCTTTAAGTGTCTTATACAAGCCTTTACTCACTCAGTACTGAGCTGTGCCTAAGCCAGGATTAAGGGAGAATCCTATTTAGGAAAACACCCTTTGATGGAGAAAGCACAAAGCAAAGAGGAATTTTTGCACGGATGTTTCCAATTGTGACGGGCACAGGAACATCAGAACTATCTCTGGGAGAGCTCCTGGGGCACTGCAGACCCCCTGGAATGAGAGGGGAGCCTTGACTCAGCCCTGAGCATCAGCCTGGTTGAGGATTATAAGAGCTGTTTTGATCAGGGGAAAATTTCTGTTTTTAGCATAGGCAGCAATTAAAATAGCTCAGGAATCTCAACGCCTCGGGGAGCTGTCATAAAAGGAGGCAGAAAATCCATCTTCTGGACTCCTCTGCACCAGAGATGAGCCTGGAGGGAGCAGAAGAGAAGAGAGCCTGAGTTTCACCTGGTGAAAAAGGACAAGCTGAGACGTCGAGCCGGATACAGCGCTTGGATCCTGAGATGCCCGTGGAGGATCTTCGGGGTCCCAGCACCCCTTTCTCGCTCTCCTTTTCGGGCAGTGGTTTCCTGGCCCTCTACCAGGTCGGGGTGGTGCAGTCCCTCCTGGAACTGGCTCCTGAGCTCCTCAAATCTGCCTGCAAGGTCTATGGATCATCAGCTGGCTCCCTGATCGCCGCCGCCGTCGTGTGCGGGATCGGCCTTGGTAAGACAACTGTCACCTCAGTTTCCCTTTCTCGTGGAGATTTCTGTTTCAGAATTGATGCCTCAAAGTGTTGGTGGGGATGTTGCCTTTTAATTAGTTGTTTTCATCAATCATAGGTTGCGTGTTAGGCCTTAAAATCGCTTTTAGCCAGCACGGAGCAAAAAGTTGTCATGGGCAACTTTTGTGAGAACACAACTTGGGAAAAGGGTTAAAACTACAAGTTTTAAAGTTCACCTTGATAGGCTTCAATGAAAAGCTTGTGAGAGAAAGATGTGTTGTTGAAACTGGGCATCTGGAAAAAAAGAACTTTTTGCAGAAACCAGCAGATAACAACGAAGTCTAACAAAGGTTCAGTGTTTGTGTCAGAAAGTCCCTGCCGGAGAGAAAAAGATACTAAAAAGACTAAAAGTATGAACTAATTAGCACAAGCAATGAGACATTAATAACCAATAGTGGCTAGAATACTAATTAGTGAAAGGGAATGATGTAATTTAGAACCAATGAACATGTGTTTCTTTGAATTTGTTAAAAATTTATAAACAGGTGAAAAAAATGACGTGTTGGTGTCTGGGTGGAGGCAGGATTTTTGTTGGCCACATGCACACCCAGAGCTGCAAATCTAGTGAGGCCTTGTTTTCTAACACTAAAAAGACAGTGGTTCTAGCACCCAAAATGCAGTGTAAGAGGGTCCTGTCATTCCCAAGGATTTCAGGGGTATTTGGCAGCAGGGATGCAATATTGATGTAACTCCTATCGCTCACAAGGCACTAAAGAAATCCAAGGTGTTGTCGCTTCTGGCAGCCAAGCTGGAGCAATTTTGGGGGTATAAGGTGAAATAGCCTGTTGTGACAGTCTGAATGTTCACTGTCAGATGGTGGGGAGATACCTGTGTGGGGAAAGCTGGATGTACCTGAATTCCATTGGCTCATTCCCTGCTCCTGCTGAAGGAGCAGAACTTCCCTTCAGCTGCAAGGTCTGAGGAGTGCTGAGATGTGTCCCAAAGAAAGTCTGCCTGGCTGTAGACTCAGCATCTACAAGGGATGTGCCCTTTGTCCCTATGGATCAGGTCCCTTGGGCTCCTTAGCCACAAAGGGACGTGAGTGGCATTCCTAGGTATCCATAGAGGTGACAGCCCTGTTTGCATGTCACATTGTTTTATCCCACCCAACCTTCCCAGAACAAGGGAAGATGTGCAATTCCCATTCCCAGATAGTGGAGCATCTTTCCCTGTGGTAAAATCTCAGGAGCTCATCAGTGGGATGTGCCTGATGGAACAGCAGTATATATATATATATATATAATATATATATTTAGAAAAAGCAGAAATAAACATTTCTGCCCATATGGGGGTGAACTCCTTCACAAATCAGCAAAAAATTTCCTCTCTGATTCCTCATGCTGGTGTAATGGATGGAGCTGGGGATGTCCAGCAGTGCAAATAAATTTGGGAACTGCTCTTGCTGGAGGCACCAGTCCTGAAACAGGGCTCTGCTTCCACGGGGGTGAAAGGCACCCTCCACTTAGAGGGGTTGAGGTGATCTTGTACTCAAAATACCTTCCCCAGGGGAAGAAAAGACGTTCTGGGTAGTGATGAGGCTGGTTGGGTTTCTAATAAGGAAAATTGAAGTGCCACAAACTCTGTCAAATTCACACTGGGGTGAAAAGAGGGTGAAAGGTGTGTTTGGCATCCCATGGGGTGGCTGCGGTCAGGTCCCTGTCCCTTGCCCTGACCTGGGCTGGGTGAGGAGGTCTGAGCTGAACAGTCTGAGCCAGTCTGTCGTCTGCCACCCCACAGGTCACCTCCTGGGGACATGCCTGGTCACTGAGCTGGTGCAGGCAGGGACAGACATGGCATTGCTGCCACGGTCAACCCTTGCGTGCCCTGAACCGAAGCCCCCAAGCCGGGGGCTTTTTCCTCATTCCCAGGATACAGAGCAGTGCCCTGTGGGTGCACCACCTCCCTGGGGTGTCTCTGGCTCTTTTGGGATCCCTGAGGGCCCCGTGTGACCCTGCTGAACACTAATCATCACCACATGGCCTCAGCATCCGCTCAAACACACATAACCCCTCTTAATACCTGTGTGGCTCCAGGTGCCTTCAGGACACTCCACCTAATCCGTCTGTCTGTCCATGCAATCTCATGAGACAGCATGGGAGCCTCTGTCCCTACAAGGCCATGGGTGCAGGTGCAGGTGCAGGGTCCCAGGGAGCTCCCCTGGGTGCAAGGATGGCTCTTTTGGAGCTAGATGAGCTTTTTGCTGAAGGAATTTAACCCCCAAGGTGGGATATTCCCCTAGGGGGGCTCCCCACGTCAGCAAAGGGACCAAAATCCCTCCCTGGGATCAGGAGTTTGCTGCACTCCTCGTCCTCCCCATCACTGCACAGCCTTTAAAACCCAGAGGACCCCTTCAGCCAGGGCTCTGGGGCTCCCCTCCTTTAATCCAGCTCCTGGGATGTGCAGACACATGTAATGGTTATTAACACCATCTCACAGGTCGCTGGGGGAGCTCAGGTGAGTCCCAGGACACTTGGCTTGCAGAAAGCCCTAAACAGAGCAGATGCCCCTCATCCTCCCTCATCTCCCCCTGGCAGCTGGAAAACTGGAGGGGGAAGGCAGGAACGTGTTGAGCAAGTCACATTGGCACCTACAACTCTGCCTGCACCCGTCTGCCTTCCTGGGGCTCTTTGGAACCTTTCCCTAATCCCTGCCTTGAGCACCTGTCTCCGGTGCAGACGGGGATTTCACAGGCGGGGTCACACTCAGTCTTTTGAGGACACCGTGGGGGTGATGTCCCCTTTTCTGCCCTGCCACAACATTCCCCAGCAGTGTCATCCTGGGCTCACACAGTGGGGCTGGAGGGGCTTTATTTGTGAGGAGAGTTAACAATAGGATGAAAAATATAACTGGCAGGGCAGCAGGGATATTGACTTTCTCTCTGTCTTTCCCCTGTCTCTGTTTCAGATGACCTAAAGGAATTTTTCTTTGCCATGGCAGCAGAAGTCAGGAAAACCATCCTGGGCCCCCTCTCTCCCAGGTGCAGCTTGCTGGCCAATATCAAGTCTGTTCTGCAGCGGATGCTCCCAGAGAATTCCTACCAGCTGGCTTCAGGGAGGCTGCACATCTCACTCACCAGGGTGGCAGATGGCCAGAATGTCATGGCCTCGGAGTTCAGCTCCAAAGAGGAGCTCATTCAGGTACAGAGACATTCCTCTGATGCTGAGGAACATCTCTGCCTGCTGCTCGGGGTGGAGGACCCTAAGCTGGTGTCTTCAACTGCACTGTTTTCTACCCTGAGTAATAAAAACTGTAGCAGTTGCCAGGTTTTCTACTGACAGTATCAAGAAGCTCTGCCAGAGCTGTGGTCCTGCCACAATGAGCTCCATGAGTCCTTGGAGGGGGAGAGGGAGATGTGAGGTCGAGAGTCAGACAGGAACAAATCACGCTAAAAAAGCAGCAGGTTTGTTTCCAGCCTCACAAAGCTGATGCTGGTGCTCTGATAAGTGCTGATGACTCTTTAAGAGCTCTGTTAATGCTCAGCTCTCCATAGAGGTCTCTCCCCAGCCAAATCCCACTGGCAGTGGTTTTCCTTGTTGCCTCAGCGCTTTCCTGGGAGGACAGAGCTCTACAAAGCTGCTGCCAAACAACAAGCAGCTGATTAACCAGTAAATTAACCAGAAAAATATCTTGGGCAGTGATATGTAGATTTGCACCTATTAATTCTGGCAGAGCTTAATTAAATCAAATTTAATTAATTTTAAATAATTTTTAAAAAATTAATTAAAGACAGAAGTGCTTTGCCCTGCTCAAGAGAGTTATTTCAGCTTTAATGAAATGAGCTGTTTGCCCCTTCTTGAAGCCTCTCTTCCTACCACAGTCCAGGTGGCACTGACAGCCTGGCTCCAGACTTTGTCAAGGCTGAATTTTCAGGCACCCAGTCAACAGCTTTTGTCCAGGGGAACTTTAACAGGAACATTGACTTCTCCAATCCCTCTCCTCTCCCAGGCTCTCCTCTGCAGCTGCTTCCTTCCTATTTACTGTGGATTCATCCCTCCATCCTACCGAGGAGTGGTGAGTGGTATTTCCAATAAAACAGATGCTCCCAGCAGCGTGTTCTTGTGTTTGAACTTCACATTCCCTCGAGCAGGGTGGGTTATGTGTGTCCAGGTTTTTCCTTTAGTTAATGGAGGAGGATAAAGCCTTTTAGCTCGTTCTCCATCACATCCTAAGGTGAGAGCTGGGTGGCATTGCCATCTGGAGAGGGCTTTGCCCACAGACAGACTGTGAGTGACTCAATCTTGCCTTGCAGATCTCCGGCACGAGATGAGAGGAATCCCACGATCAGGAATTAGAGACACAGTCCAGTTATCCTGGGCAGGGTCTGCCTGCGGTGCCGGTGTCACTCAGATCAGGTGCAGACCTGCATGGCTCAGGCACAGCAAGTCTGTGGGAGAATCCCTGTGCATTTTCATACCCTGTGCTTGTCTGGGTGAAGGAGGAGCACATCAGTGTTTTCCAGAGCTTTCAGGGATGGGGCAGCCACAGCTTCTCTGAGAAACCTGTGCCAGGGCCTCCCCACCCTCACAGGGAGGAATTCCTTCGCAGTGTCCCATCTAACCCTGCCCTCTGGCAGTGGGAAGTCATTCTCCCTTGTCCTGCCACTCCAGGCCTTGTCCAAAGTCCCTCTCCAGCTCTCTTGGAGCCTCTCTAGGCACTGGAAGGGGCTTTAAGGTCTCCACCCTGGAAGAGTCTAAGGCCAGGTTGGACAGGGTTTGGAGCAACCTGGGCTAGTGGAAGGTGTTCCTGCCCATGGCAGGGGGTGGAATGGGACGAGCTTTGAGGTCCTTTCCAGCTCAGACCATTCCCTGGGTCTAGGATTGCTGTGTGAGGCCCCTCTGCACTGTCACTTCATGAACATTCAGCTTGATCAGCTGCAACCTCAAATCCCACTGAGGTGGGTGGTAAATTCAGATTCCTTTTGGACCACGGCAAATGACATTTTCCTTGCCCAGTGAGCAATCCCCCAGGGGTTTGCAGACAATTATTAAAGTGGGGGCCCCACTGCTCGAGCTCAGGACTCGAAAGTTATGCAACATTTGGTGATGTTTGAATTGGCTCACAACTGCCAAATTTTTCTTTTTTTTTACAGAGCTTTGTGAATTAAAGTAATTATATTCCCTTCTTAATAACTGCTGTGGATTTACAGCACCTGGTCGAGGAGCTGGCTGGGTGCCACAGGCAGGGCAGCTGAAGGAGCTGGTAAAGCCTGGGATTAAGAGTCAGGGTGGGAAGAGGCGCTGCTGAAAGGAGAGAGGACGTGCTGGAAGTGGCTCGTGGTGGGAGATGTCACCCCGTGGAGCTGCTGGTTCTCGTCCTGGTGACACTGCCACGACCCTCAGAGCAAACCCTCCCCTCTGCTCCTGCCCGCAGCGCTACGTGGACGGGGGATTCACCGGCCTGCAGCCCGTCTCCAGCCTGGAGGAGCCCGTCATCACCGTGTCCCCCTTCACCGGAGAGCTCGACATCTGCCCCCGGGACTGCCCTGCCATCTTCTTCTGCTTCCAGATCTTCAACGGCAGCGTCCAGATCTCCATAGAGAACCTCTGCAGGATCAGCTACGCTCTCTTCCCGCCCAGCACCATGGTGAGCCCAGCAGGGCTTCTCCCAGCTTTGTTGTGGTTGGAAGGAATTAATTCTGCTCCCGCCTTCCCGAGCTTTAGGGTTCGGCTCAATCTCCACCACTAATTAATCAGGTTTCAAAGGTAGGGGAGAGCACCAACTGTTATTGCAGGACATTATTTGGGGTGGCCAAGCTGGGGTGGGGGTCCACAACCTGCAAAGGACCAGGTGGAATGAGATGATCTTTAAGGTCCCTTCCGACCCAAACCATTCTGTGATCCCATGACTGGTGTTTTGGTGGCTGGAAACCGACCTGTGCTTGCTGCCTTCCCAAATGGGCCATCCCTGACCCTCCATGGTCAAACAGCTTTGGATAGACCTTGCACTGCCTGGACTGGGGCTCTTCAGTGACCTCAAGTCTTTCTCCTTGCAGGTCTTGAACGACATTTTCTCCCAGGGGTACCAGGACACTGCCCTTTTCCTGTACAGGAACAGTAAGTGCCACCCCAAGACCCGATGGGCAGCCTCAGAGTGTGACAGACACAAACATCAGCCCTTTCTCTCCCCACAGATGCCTTTGGATTTAATTACTTCGATGGGAATTTCCGCTTTGGCAGCACCTGTGGGAAGAACAACTCCACCCAATCCGAGGGGACACACCCCGGGCTGTACAGGAGGGTCCCTCAGAGCCTGACCCCTTGCTTCCTGCCAGGTAAAGGGTTTGGGGTGATGAGCTCGGGTTTGGGGCTGTTCAGTCCTCCAGAGGAGCAGTGTTATCTTTAAGACATTATTGAGTTATTTATTATGGTAAATATTTCTACATCTGCAGTAGCTGCTCACAAAGAGGCTTTGTAAGAGTTGCTCAAGCTGGACTTGCTCCTGGGCTTAAGCATCTACCTGAGCTGCAGCTGGACAAGAGGAATTCTTGCATTTATTTGGTTATTTCTGTTACTGATCTTTGTTTCCTTCTGTGTTGTCGTTCACGGGCACAGGCTTGTGGAAGAAGGAGCAGGTGAATGGACTGCAGGACCCCCTGGCCAGGATCCTGCTGCAGCCTTACAGGCTCCCAGCTTTATTCAGGAAAGGGTAAGAACATCCTGAGAGAGGCATCAGAGAATGACACACGAGCCAGGGGTCGTGCCTTCAGCAGTGGTGAGGCAGCTGAAGGGACACATGAAGGGATTTAGTGTTCCCTGAAGGCAAACTCTCTGGGAGGCAGGGAGTGGCTGGTGAGAACACCAGAGGATCACTTGGCTGTGGGAAAGGTTATTACAGTGTGCATTTACCATTTAGCACCTTTCCCTGCCTTTGCCCATCATTAAACTCAGCCTGTTTATTTTACTCTTGCAGGGTGAAGAAGGTGTGGGGGCTGCTGGAAGGTGTCACCTCCCTGGCACAAGGACTCCATAAACTCCTCCAAACCTTGGTGCCTGCTTTGCCCAAGAGAGCCGTGGACAGGAGGTGAGAAGCTCTCCCTCAGCAAAGGGAGAACAGGGAAAGGGTCCCTGATGCTGAACATGGCTAAAATCTCCAAATCTGGAGCAGCCCACATTAAAAGTAGCTATTTTTTTCCCCCCTATGATATTATTTTGATGTATCAAAGGAGCTACAAAACAGCTTAGTGCTGCTTCCCTATTGCAATATATTCATGTTCAAGATATTTACCTACCGGGCTTTGTCCTGGCAGGACATCAGGAACGTTCACCAAGATCCTGAGAGATGTTTTGGCACTAAACCCTCAAGGATTTGAGGCATTTAACTTGTCACACCGGCAGCTTTGAAGTCACATCTGCCCCAAACCCGCTCGCAAGTTCCTTCATGAGCAGCTGGCGAGGAGACTCCACACAGCTACAAACTGCTCAGCTGTGAGAAAGCCCTTTGGTGTCAAACACCCCTGGGGCTGCTCATCCCTCTGGGTCCGTGGATCCTGACCCAGCTGTCCCTTTGTTCCCACAGGTAACTGGCCTGGAAGGGCCCTGGGGGTCTCCAAGTTCTGCTGCCTCGGGAAGGGATGGGTGAAACCAGAGCTCATCTCACACGCCAGCACAGCTGCTGCTTTGCTATGGAATATTTTGGGGTTTTTGTTTGTTTTTTTTTTCACTTGGGAGCTGATTCTGCCTCCTGTGCTGCTGCTGCCCCTGCTCAGGCCTGACCTGCTTTAACGTGACAGCCGAGGCAAAGCTCTGGTGCTGCTCCTGTGACCCACCCCAGGCTGCAGGAGCCACTGGGCAGCTTCACCTGCAGGCACCTACAGCCCAGAGCCTGCTTCCCTCCCCTGTCTCCCTCCTCATCACCAGCAGCATCCCTTCCCTTCCTTTAATGCAGATTATGGGGCAGGAATTTGCCACGAAATGCCACATTTTAAGTATTTTCTTCCCACTCAAAAACTTTCAGAGCAGTTTCATCAGAGCAAAGGAGAAGCCTTAGGGAGCATCACACTTGGTAGGAACCAATTTTCATCCAGTTCTCTGAAGCTGTTTTACCAATTATCTATTCTTGAACTTCACACACCCCCATAGCTCTGCTTCTCCTGCCTGTGGAGGTGGGAGAACATTTGGATCCCCCTCGAATTCGCAGCTGTGGAGAAGGATGGAGAAACCTGAAGATGAACCTCCTCCTACTCCAGAGTCCAGCACTCTGTGCATTCCCCGGCATTTCACAAATAAATGAGTTATTTTCAGGGAATTATCTGTAATTTGCAGCCACCCACAGCGCAGGGCCCAGGCAAACACACCCCGTGCTGCTGGTCTGTGCACAGAATTAATTGGCAGCTCTCTTAATTATCCCAAATCCACGCTGCACGTCAGGGACTGATGGATTGGCTTCACCCCGACTGAGTGTCCCCCGTTTGCTGGTTCCTGATGGACAACAAACAGATCCCAACAGCACAAGATGTCAATAAAGAGCTTGTTTAGTTGCACAAAGGGAAATGGAACAGAGGGAAGTTTCATCCAAAGGGCCCTGGAGACTTCAGGCATGAATGTGGGGAGTGGCTGCTTTGATGTAAACAGATCCAAAGTTAACTCTGAAAGCTCTGTGAAAGGTTAACACACCAGGTTCTGCTGTCTTTGGTTGAAATCAGAGACCTGGGAATATTTTTCTCTGAAATGAGCTTGCAAAAACAAAAGCTGGATGCTTATTTCATAGAACCATGGAATGGTTTGGGTGGGAAAGGTTCCTGGGCTCCCTAGGATCACCACCACCTCCAGGTAGGATATTCCCTTTTCAGTCAGCCTCCAGCAATTACACTTCAAACAGGAATTAAAATCCCCCTGAGAAAATTCTCATCTAGGAATTGGACACCCAAACCCACTAAATGTGTCTGCAAATCTCAACCACAAACAGGAGCACAGTTTGAACTGCCCAGTGTGTCCCACCCACCCCTATGATACTTAATCATAAAAAGCCAGGAAAACTTTAAGAGCTTCAATTAAAAAAAAAACAACCTACAAGAAACACCCAAACCAAAACAGTCCCTGCAAAGAGCCCTCCTGCTCCAAACCTGCAGGGGTTTGCTAAGAGAGAAATATTTATACAACTCAACATTCAAATCAGCTGTTTTTTTGCTTTATTAATCCCTCACCTTTTCAAGGAAGCACAGCTGGTGCTGCCTCCTCTGCATGAGCTTGGAGCTAAGGGCACCAGGAGGCTTTGCCAGGGGTGATGGATAAAGGTTGGCATCAGCTGGAATCACCTTGTGCAGGACCTTGTTTCACCCCAAGGAAGCAGACTGGGAATCCCACTGCACCCAGTTGGGATGGATCCACTCTGAAATGCCTCCTTCAAAGGTGGGTCACAGGAAGCACCAGGGTCTGAGGCAGGGATGGAAGGGGCTGTGGCCCTGCCTGTGCTGGTGATGTCACTTTCATTGTCACTGTCACATCCTTATGCTCCTCAGTGCAGGTCAGGCTCTGCCTTCAGGCTGGGCTGCAAGTTGCTTATTCTCTCTTTAAAACACAAACTGGGGCTGAAGGCAGCAGCGGGGCCAAAAATGCTCTTCTGTGGCTGGCCTGGCCCTAAAGGGAGGAAAAGCACATTATTCTGTCTGACAGACACTTCTGGCAGTTCCTGTGAGACAAACTGGATTCGAGTACCTGAGCTGAGCTGTTCCCTCCCTGTTCTAAGTGGGCCTAGAGCTGGTTTGTTTTCAAGGGAAAGGTCTTCCTTGCTTTTATTTGATGTTTTTTCAAGCTTTTATTTTTATAGCTGGAAGGGTGACAGTCCTATTCTTTCCACTTTATATTCCTTGTTTGGTGTGGTGCTCCTAGAACAATATTTGGGTCTTTTTTTTTGTTTGTTTTTACTTTTTATTTACGTGGCAACATTTTAAATAATCAGCATGTTAAAATAGCTGTGTCATTTTACCTAAGCTGACAAATTCTGTAACGCTGAAAGCCTCTAAAAGAAAAAGGAAATATATAATAAAATCGTAAAAAACTTTGCATTCCACCAGATGCTTTGTATTTCTCTGGTAATAATAACACAAACTGGGGGCTGAAATGCTGAGGATTTGAATGGTTTTTCATTCAAAACCCAGATGGGAGAGGGCATTATTTTGCACAGGATTGCAGAAAACTACAAGTTTTGGATCTAAACCTGCCTTGTGTTGCTCAAGAATGATACAGGTAGAGGTTCACCTGCAGGTCTGATGTGCCTTCCTTGCACTCAGTATTTCTCTGGCTGCAACCAGGGTTACTAAGGAGAAATTTGGATCTGATCCTGGAACCCTTGAGACACTCTTAATGAAATCCTGTGTGGACAGAACCTGTTATTACCTTGCAAGCTGAGTAAATAAATGGCTTTCTCCATGGAAAGAGCTGCTTTTCCAAAGAGCCCTTCTGAGCCAGCTACAAGCCTCAATCCTCACCTAAACCAGGTTCAGCATAAAGCCTCACTAATAACCCCTGACCCAGGGGGGACTTTTTTTCCCATTCCTGGTGTTCTCACATCTTTTCTGGAGCCTCCAAAGTCCCAGAGAACCCCTTTTGGTAGTGACAGCCCTGGGCCAAGTGTCACTTAGCTCATGAAAATTGGTGGGATAAAGGAAGTGCTGGCTCTTTACCTTTCTGGGGGTGGTCAAGGTGGTGTGGAGCTTCCTCTTCATCCTCTGCCTGGGTGGTCCCTGGATCCTCTTCAGTGGCATTCTCCGGGTTTGTGGCTCTGGAGCAAAGTTCTCTCAGTTCTGGCTTCAGGTGCAGGGTCTCCTCACCTTTCTGGCATGATCCATCGGTCAATGAGAGCGTAAAGCCCTCAAAGTAATCCACAGGGAAATTAACTGTTGGGAAGAGAATCCAGCTCTCACTGCCTGTTCCCCAATGACCTGTTCTCCAGCAGTGTGAGGCATGACCAGGGTTGACTGGAAAACAGGGATACTGGTGACCCCGTGGTTAATGGGAGTTGGGTTTGGGGGTCAGGGATCACCAAACTTTGCTGCTTTGTGATCATTGGGTTATCAAACACCTCACAGGGCACCTGAGTCTGCATTTCTGTCCAGGACCTGGGGGCCTGTGTATCCCTGGGAGAAAGCTCTGCCATGCCCACTGTGGCAGAGGAAAGATCCAACATCCCCAGAGAGTGAACAGGGAGCTTCAGGAGAGGCTGGGAGTCAAACAATCCTATAATGCCAGGGATGCAGGGATCCCTCTGGGTGCACTGGCAGCAACTCTCACCTTCTGTCAGCAACCCCAAAATGTGAGAGAAGTACCCAACCAACTCCCAGTCACTTACTCAGTCTTTTTAAGAAGAGGACCGCGTCCTGGTAGCCACAGGCAAAAAACCGGTCCAGGACCTGCAACAGGGGGAGAGGTGCCAGTCAGGGCAGCTGGGCCGGAGAAAAGGGGGCTCGTGGCTCTGGGTACCTGGAGGAGCAGCTCACTTGGCGTTTGGGGAACTGAAAAATGTGCTGCAAGCGGCAGAGGTTCCTTGTGGAGATCTGCAGAATGCAATCGGAGAGCTGGAAGTTGAAGAAGGCGGCGGCGCCGTCCCTGGGGCAGATGTCGTACTCGCCGGCGAAGGCGGACACGGTGATGGTGGTCTGGGACACGAAGTCAGCTCTCCACATGGCCAGTTCCCCGTCCACGTAACGCTGAGAGAGGAAAAAAGGGAACCCTGAGCCCTCCTGGTGTCGGGGAGAGCAGTGCTGCGTCCCCTTTGGGGTTTCTTCCCCACCCGGGCTGAGGCTTTGGGGCTACAGAGATGCCCTTCGAAGGAACAGCACAGGTTTGTGTGCTCCAGGTCCACACCCACCACCTCCTCCCTTCCAGCCACAAAAGCACCCTTTAACTGGGAGGAAAGAGTGGCAGAAAGGACTTGAGCCAAGCCTGGGGACAGGGGTAGGATGGACAATTCTGTGAGAAGGTCAGTTCTCTTTGCAGTAAGGTCAGACTTTGGGGCACCTTCTTCCCTCTGCAGACACTGTGGGAACGTGGCACTGAGCAACTCTGGTGGCAAACACGGGTATAAACACCCTTAATGCCACCACTGGAGAAAGAGCACAGCCTAGAGGGGCCCTTGGCCTGACCTGGGACAGGGTCTCCAGACCACAAGGTACTCACCACCCCATGGTATCTAGGAGGGAAAAGTCCAAAATACACTGGGATGAAGCAGCTGCACACTATGGCCTGTGGGTGAGACAGGAAGGACAGAGGTGAGCAAAGAGCCACAGAACCCCTTGCCCTTGGGAATGGTGGCTCATCTGTGAATGCCAAAAAAAGAGACCCCCAGCTGGGTTATTGAGCACCACTGCTGTGCACCAGACAATGCCTGATATCCACAGCCAGGGTGGAGATATAGGAAGGGAAGCTGTGAAACGCCTCAGTTTGCTCCCTGCGTACTCAGGATAATCCAGCCAGCAATTAAAAGGGCTGATTGTTTGTATTATTTCAGCCTGTGACCCTGCCTGGATTCAGAGGGTGGTAAGACCAGAAATCACGGCATGGGTTACAGCAAGGCCCCAGGGCCTGTTGGGATGAAACCAGGGTTAGGGTTGGGTTTGAGATAAAAAAGGGTGAGATTTAGACTAGAAATAAGGAAGAATTTTTTACAGTGAGGGCTGTGAGGCCCTGGCACAGGTTGCCCAGAGAAGCTGTGGCTGCCCCATCCCTGGAAGCATCCAAGGCCAGGTTGGACATGGCTTGGAGCACCCTGGGATAGTGGAAGGTGTCCCTGCCCATGGCAGGGGGTGGAATGAGATGAGCTTTAACCTCCCCTCCAACCCAACCCATTCCCGGACTCTGTGCTGTTGGGACGTGGCCAGGCAGCAAATCCCACACATCTCCCTGTGCTGTGGCTGCTCCCACCTGGATCAGGTCCTCCTTGGAGGAAAACTCGGACACGGTCACGCTTTTCCAGTCGTGCACACGGGTGAGGACAATGTGCAGCTTTCCAGACACCAGCTGGTGGGCATTGGGAGGCAGGTGTTTTTCTAGGCCATACCTTAAGATCTTAAGGATTCTTTTTCCAGGAACAAGCCCCCAGAAGGAGGTTGTCAAAAGACCGAGGAAGGTATTCTTGAACTCATCTGAAGCAAAGCAAAGCAATCATGCCACACTCCTTACATTATTATTTATTTACTATTAGGAATGATTTATGTACTTGCTGAAGCTGCACTTCCTACCTGGGAAAGGGGCATTTTACCATGTTGTGAAACGCTCACACAGAGCCATTATTTTTATTAGGGTTTAAGCTCTCATGAGTGGACCCAAACTTTCCAAGGACTTTCAAAATTGCAGGAAGCAGAAGTATTTCATTTTCTTTTCCCTTTTCTCTTGATTTTCTCCACAAGGCATCTTAAAAATTTTTGGACATATGGGAGAAAATTGACAAGGAGCCTTTGTAAAACTTTTCTTCCTGTTGGCTCCTGGATCTGTGTTCCTCCCTAATGTATTTTCTTTCCCTTCTGTGTTTTGGGAATCTACCAGCAATCCCAAATGCATTATTAAGGAGAGAACTTCTGTTTCGTATATTAGACATGCTTACTATTTATTCAAATTAATAAGATGCATGACTTATTTAATAACTATATCTAATCTGTTTTCTCTCTGTTCTGGTTAGTTTACCCATATTTTCCACTCTTCCAGAGGTCAATAAAGCAAAATTCTGAGCAATTAACCACCAATTAATTAAAAATACCCCTTTTGCAACTCCCGAATTCCAAGCTATTTGTTCTCTTTAGGCTCCCAATGGACAGAAATGCACAGCTCTTACCTACATCACACCCACACAGTCCACCTGCAGCTACAACTGATCCTGAAGATGATCCATAGATCCTGGATGCAGATTCCAGTATGCCAGGAGACAATTCCTGCAAAGCAGACAACACTCCAGCTTCGTATGCAATCAAGAAACTGCAGCCTCTAAACAGTATAGAGTAAGGTCTTCCCTCTTTTCCACTTATCCTCATCATCTCTGCAAACACTTAAGCACTCCAGCCACGAGAAAGCAGCTGCCCAACACCCTCAGAGGGCTTTCCACAGCCAGCCAAGCCTCAGCTGTGTCTCGCTGTCTTATATCCCTCTGTTGGTCATAAATCTCTAAGCCAAGGGTCCAGTGAAAGAGCAGCAGTGGGCAGAAGTGGATGGTGTGATGTCTTAATGCCTAAGGCCACCCATTAAAATCAGATTATTACATGGCAGGGTGTCTGAGGTGAGCACTGAGCTCCTGGGCAGCCCCAGGACGTGGGGACACGTCACACTGATGTGTTAGGGAAGCAGCTCAGGGAGGGGGGCTCCACAAATGATTCCTCAGGAAGGAGAAAGCTGCTTGCCCAAGTAGTGAAACTCCTTCAGTGGCACCCCAGGGGGACCAGCACGAAATTCCAGCCTCTTGGGAGGCAGGAATCAACAAATACACCCTGGTGTGAGTCTTGCAAGGTGCTCCTCAAAGCTCTCTTGCCCCATTTGGAAAAGGTTACCAAACCCCATCCCAGGGAGTGGAAAGGCTGGTTGGATTACTAAAAAAAATCACAACCCAGGTTGTTTTCCTCGTTTCACAATTTCAGGGTCCAAGTTTGCTTAAATAAAGGGTAAAAATACAGAGTCCAGGTAACAACTTGTGGCTTCACCTGCCTCCTAAATGGCTGAGGTTTCAGTAGAGCAACAGCTCCATAAAGAAGTAAAGAGGAAGGGGGAAAAAAGCCTGGTAAACCCAGTGATTTACTGATTATCCACCCCAAAATGCAAAGCCTTCTTAGCCCTGCAGCCTGAAGAAACACCTACAGGGAAACTCCTACAGGGAAAGCCAGCTCTGAGCTGGGCAAGGTCAGAGGCAACTGGACAACACAAACAACAACATCAACCACAGCTTGGACATATTTCTATGGGAAATCTACCCAATATCCTCAGGCAAAGAGGCTTCCCAACCCACTTTGGACTCAAGAGAGGAATAAATATATTCCATGACGAGTGAAGAGAACAAATGCACTGCAAATAATTTCCCATCTA